TATGGTTTATGATGATGATGATTTATACATTTTTATTTGTTAGTATTGCGAACTCAGTCCAGTTCGACTTCTATAATTTCAGTTATTTTGCAAGAAGTAGAGAGGAAAAGTTTATAAAAATCTTTCACAGGGACTAACCTGTGTTCTGAAAGAAGGGGGAATTTGCTCCTATTGCTTCATTGGATGCGTCTGTGGTAAGGATAAAAGGTTTACTCCAATCAGGATACGATAGTACTGGTCGTAATGTTAGTTTATTTTTTTAATAATTTGAACGAGTGCTGTGTTTCGTTCGTCCATTTAAATGTAGTAGATTTTTGAAGGAGTTGTGTGAGAGGCTTGGCAATTTTCGAAAAATCTTTAATGAACTTTCGGTAATATTGTAAGATTTGCAAACTTCGTTAGTTTTAAATAAAAACAATTTTATTTTCCTTCACAGTTACAGTGTTTCTTTATTACAATATTTCACTTAACTTATAATTCACAAGTATCACTTCTATAGATGATCGGCGCGACCGAGATGGCGAGAGTAAGTAACCGTATGTATCTGACTGCTCAATTCTGACTGGCTGTGCCCTATTTGAGTGTGGTACTTATATACTAACTTAGGAGAAAACCCTTGTATTTGGGCGTCGTGGGAGAGCGTAATAACTAAGAAAAACATGTCGCAATAATTAAGAAAAACATCTCGTGACAATCAAGTAAACATCTTATGATGATTAAGAAAGAAGTGAGTTGTGATGAAAGGTGTTTACGATATTCAATAAGGATTAGGTATCTGATTGAACTCTATACGATTGTGGGAGAGCATCTAGCGGTAATCACGGAAAGAAGTAGGTCGTGGTAAAAACAATGACGTGTACTACGGTCACACCTCTCTCCTTATAGAAAAATTTGATGTATAGTCAAATTTTATGTAGTAATCTACGGAGTGTATCGGGCGGTATCTGGTGATCTAAAGGTAGAACTACTCCAGGTTCTCGACCTCCAGTGTAGCTTACATGTTGTGTGGGTGCTCGATTTCCAAAACTGCAATGGTTATAGCAATTTCCGAGTAATTGTTTACAGAGATTGATAATACTTGAAAAAAGACCTAATTTATAAAGAAAAACAAAAAGGATAGAGCCGAGGGCTATATATCCTGTCAAATGAAGATAATACATGAATCTTTCTTTCCAGGTAATTGTTCTGTGGTTATCTAATATCTGGTCTGCGATGGTATCCAGTTCACCCAACGTTTTACCGAGGGTTTGTAGTCTTTCTGGATCTATATGCGTTTCTTTTATTATGTTCATAGGTATGTTTGTTAGATTGTAATTTGCAAAGATGTTATCAAGTGGTTTGTGTGATGGTACTCGAATAGTCTGATGAATTTCAATTGTGTCTTTAATTAGGTTTTCAGGTTTTAAAGTTGCAGTATCGGAAATTGCTGTATAATCAGGTTCTAAATGTAATATAAAGTTTTTATAAATACGTACGCTACGTGGTTTTTTATCTGAGCAAAGAACATGCAAATTTTCTTTTCTAGGTGCAATTCCGACCCAGTCTTGATTCGTGTGGAGCTGGATCCACAACGTGTTTTGTATTTGCATGTACTTTGTTGTACATTTTTCCTTGTTCGAATTCCTGCTAGATATAATACGTTTTCTAAATTGCTTCCTATTTCACTTAATTCTATCTGTTGTTTGTAGATTTTACGTCTAGAGGAACAAGTCCAGGTTTGGTTCTGGACAGTATTGATACATTTTCTCGCTAATTGATTATAAGCTTCTTTAAGCTCTACAAAATGGTTTTCTAGATCGGATAAATCGTATCCTATTGTTACGTCCTGGCCCCTGGAAACGGTCGGGCATGGACGGAGCGTAACACTAGTCGAATTTTCTTTATCTCTCGACACACACACACTTGGAGATACGGTCGTGTGTGCGTGCGAGAGTCGAGCGATCTTTCGGGTCCGGCGGACGGGTCAACGGTCGTGTGCCGCTTTTACTCCGTCGCTCTTTGGACTTCGCTCGTGTGTCCCCTTTTTTTTTTTTAGGCCTGAGACGCAAATCTCAATGGCCTGGGTTAGGGACGAGACTGTGCGATCTGTTTAAAAGGTGCGGGATGGTGGGCATGAGGTCAATTAAAGTTTAGACATTATTTACGATTGCGTATATATATATTTGCTCATTTTTGTGTAGTTATTTTGTTCGCAATGACATCGTTTGTGTGTAAGATTTTATTTACAATAAGCGTGGTCTGTGTCTTTCA